TTAATAATGGCTATTAGAATCTTGCGGGGGTTTTTTTAATCACTGCTAGAAATAATACTTACCTTTTAAACAGTATTGTTTATCACCCTTTTTGCAAAATAACTCSAGTATCTAGAAAACTAAAAAAGATAATCACATTACCAATAACAAATATGAACTTGCTGCAGTGGAGAAAACCTACCTGTGCTGTAAAACATTGTATACCATCTGCCACATCTGCAACATATGTCTGCACGTCACCAGAGCTGCTTCAGGTCCTTTATGTATCCATTCCAGTTTTACTTTGGTGAAAAGTAAGCTGCAAGATGAGAAAGAATAACTCCTGTTTTATTGGCACCTCATAAAAGTAGAGAATCAGTATCACTCCGGCAAGATCCTGGCAGGCAGCATTTCACTTGCTTTGTACGTGCAGCAATAAAAGAAAACACCATAGCACAAAACATTTCATTTGGCTCAACTTTGATTCCCCACAAGGAGATGAGAGGATTAACAATATTCCTCCACTGCAGTCAAATTTGCGTCACAAAGCCGGCAGGACAGTGTTAAAAGCAAAGCATTGCAAAGCTAACAAGGTGAAACATACACKGAATCTCATTTTATTTTGGACAGTATTAAAAACAGAAGAAAAAGGAATTGCCATAATACATATGCCCAGGCTGTTTTCTTAGTCTGGCATCTTCTTATAGCACTGGCTTATATAATAAATTTCAGACAAAAACCCCAGCACACTTAACATACACAGATAATTATGTAATGCCTCACAGGAAGGAAACGCTTTTTCTTAACCCCAGCTGGCAATCATCTCATGCCCCCAGGCAAGACAGCTGACAGCCTTGTACATTCTTGTTCTAGGTAGTGTAACTGCTGCTACTATTCTTATACCTAGAGAAGACGTACTTGCACAGACCACTGGAATTCAGCAAATTGGGTCATGCAGAGGTTAGAAGACAGATTTGGCAATGACACAACCTGCTGCTTGCTGCCAGCATGGCTTTTAACACCATCCTTCACTACACCCATTTGATTTTAATTGCAAAGATGATTTAATTGATTTCTTTTATACTTATGCAAACCTACTTCTCTGCTTTAAATGTTTTCATAAAGTTGAGTATCAACACTATTTTAATTCACTTGATATGGCTCRCAATTAATCGGCTGGAAGCACATATGTGTACATACATGCATACAACAACAGCTGAATGTTAAAAATCCCAAAAACAGTTTTGTGAATGTGACCAGCAGGCTCCTGACAAATCCAAACTACTTCGGAAAGAGATAAGAACAACTGCATATACGATGTCAGAGAAGAATTTGCAGCTGAGTGGGAGATCCTTCACTCGGAATAATTAGGAATCTATTGTCAAGACTGTGTGGTGCACATCTACAGGAATGTGCTAAAATGGCAGTTCCACTGAGCATTAACAAAGACTAGGATAGGCATTTGTGTTTTGGGTTTCTTGTTTGGTCAGTTGGTTGTTTTTTTCTGGGAAGTGGGGATGGTAGTGACAAAAATGTAGATCAACTGTATTGACTTCTACAGTGAAGTCTGCTCATGGCTGCAGATACAATTTGAATTTGACCTGGTAGGACAAGCATTCAATTGAATTCCTGAGGGACAAACTTTGACTGGAAAAGGAAGATCAAGACTCATAACCMAGGGAATTTGTCTTTCCCCTTTATGATTTTATGTCCTTAGTTCGTATCTTTGATTTTCTTATTACTGATACAAGTAAAACAAATACTGATGAAAACAAAATGTGCTCTTAGAGAAGATGATCCCCTGAGAGGAAGTGGCTTTATGATTAAGGTATTTGAGGATGATACACAAATTGACCAACATTTTTTCAGGGACAAAGATGTAACAGGGTATGCACTGCTAATAAAAACGAGTCTGGATTCAAAGGAGTGGTTAACAGTAGAACTGGCCAGTGATCCCTGTTACTCGGTATCCCTAGTGAACTAGGCTCATAAAGAACAAAGCTTGTTTCAATACAACAGGATACAGAATCAATCACTTGGGTACAAGGAATACATATCACACTAGAAAGGTGGGAAATTATACCCTGGAGTGCAATGGTATTACAAAAGACATGCAGTTGTGGACCAATAATGCAGTTAAGAGGTCAAACGACCCTTAGCATCCATATACAGAAATGCAGTCAGGTAGGAGCTGAAAGATGAAATTATTCCTGATCATAGCATCAGCAAGACATGTATTACAGTCCTGTTTCTAGCTCCTGTTCTTTGATTCCAGCTGATGAGTAAAAATGGGATACATTTTTCTAGCCTTCAAATCACTTGCATAACCATTTTCTGAACTGTATTTCATCAGAGGCTTAAGAAGCTCAGTTTATTTGGTTTAACCAAGATGCAGCAAAGAAATTATTTTGCCCCAGCCTGTAAGCACATGCATAGAGAAACATCTCATTGTGAGTCTTTGATATACAGGAAAAGATACCGGAGAAGCTAAGAATTTGTTGGAAGCTGAAACTAGTCAAATGGAAATTTATAAGTAAATGCATTCACACAACTATCAAGGAAAATAATCTTTGCAGCAACTACCTTGTGCGCTCAGTAAATTCTGTAGTCATTAAAGCCTTTTCAGCAAGGCAGGATAACATCTGGAAAGCAATGGCAGTGCACAAACAGATTCTGTGGCTTTGATGCATAGGTTCATGAGTGATTTTCTTTGGGCTGCACTGTGCAGAGGGGTGAGACTGTGTCACCTTCCTTCTGGAAATAACTATTAAAAATATTCTTCTAGCCCCAGAAAAAAGCTATATTGAACAATCTCTGCTATTCTAAGCATACAGAATGGTTTTTAAACCACTACAAACTTTGAAAATGAAAGACCTTCTAAAGCAGTGTACAGCCCTCCTTGCAGCAGAAGAACGGTGATCAAGGAGACAGGCCCAGAGACTGTCATATTACATCCCTGAGTAACACCACGCCTTAGAACATGGTAAGAGACCACTCAGTATTAATTAAATAGAARAATCTATTAACAGTCACACTCGGGGGCAGGAGGGTTATATTAAGGGTTCCTTCTCCCTTTCACATTAGTAGGGACATAGATGGCTTTTCAGCAGGCAATTAAATCACTACATAGTATATTTAAACATTGTATTTAAACATTAAAAAGACAAACACGAGCATTTCATCACTCTGCTGTTTACTGCTTACAGTGAGTATATGTCAACTGCTTTGGATGAAGACACAATGTTCTATCTCAGGAGAGAACAACTAATGAAATAGGGGAAAACAAGTCTCTCACAAAAGCATAATGAAGCCTCAGCACAATACTATCATGAGTTGTAAGGCACGGGCACACTACAGGATCTTGGAGATAACCATGCTCTACTAGCTGTTRTGGTAATTCACCTTGGGAGCTGTGTTATCCATATTACTGGGCAGTCTTATAATGAATCAAACCAGAAGACAAATGGGAAGAATATAAAAAGCAAAAGGAATCAAGCCATGCCAATGGCAGTAGTAAACAACCCAATTAAACATAATAACTGAAAGGTGGAAATACAATCAGGATATTAGGCTGCATATGCTATATAGGCTGGTAGTATTTCTCAGTTTCTAATAACAGTGATAAATAAATAACAGATAAATAAATACATAGAGAAAACACTCAAATGAAGTGGTATCACTTATCTCAAGCTTATAATTTTATTACTGAGCTAGCATTCTTGCTACACATAAATCCAATGAGTATTGTGTCCTATCAGTGTCTGTGTACAATTTCAGGTGCATAAATAAAAATTACTTACACACAGATCTCACTTTATTATATTTTTTAAATATCACTGTACATTTGTATGATGCTTGTAGTATTAAGCAGTGTAGACTTTTTAAAAGATTCAGCACATAAAAATAGCCCCAAGATTATCAATACAGTCACTGGTAATTCTATTAGCCTGTGAATATGAAAATAGATTTGGGCTAAAGCAAGCATATAAATTGCTACTACATAAGCATAGGAAAACAAAACAAAAAATCCACAAATCATTCTCATAATGTGTATAATTTCAGGGACAGTAACAATGGAAAATAACCAGTACTTAGTCTTGATACGAGACTCTAAGCTCCCTCTCAGAAGAGATTTTCTTTTATAGTGCATGTGGCCAGTATGCAAAGACTTTTATTCTCTGCTGTAACATCAGGCTACTGCCACAAGCAAAAACACCCATCACTCTGTCACATTAATATGAAATCTCACAAATTAAAATCTGACTACAGTCACATTTGGTGAGATCTGAAGCTCTGAAAATTCACAGGTTTCCCAAGTATCARAATTTCAATAGTATAAATTACAATATCACTATATGCCACGCCTTGACAAAAAAGGTAGAGAAGAAAGGTAGGAAGGTAGGAAGACCTACAGAAATTTTCAGAAGCAAGCAAGCTACTTGGTTGGTTGCAGAAGGCATTTAACATTTGTATTCATAAAGAATGATTCCAGTTGCTTGTACCCATGATGTCTCAAGGCCTGGCCAAATACACCTATCTAGCACTTTCAAGAGCCTGCCAATCCTACAAGGCTAAATGCTCAGCCTTTAAGTTTTTTAATACTACCTATGTGGAAAAGAGGCAATTCCTATCACTGACAATTTAATTACTGAGGTTTAATAGCTAATATTTGTTATCAGAAGATTTCACAAGTGCATATGGTGTACTATAAATGCTTATGAGCACATCTGTGGAAGTTTTAAGTTGCTGTGTATAGCAATAACCAATTGACGACTTAATGGATACTCTAAGACACTATTAAAATTTATTAATCAGTTAATTATTGAGACTTTAAAAAACTGCTTTAAAATTGAGTTCTTAGTATCAAATGTAGACCTTGAACTACACATTTATACAGCATGACAATGAGATCTGTGTCTTGTCACTTGACAATAAATAATGCCAGTACTATTAACAAACAGTAACACGTTCTACTCATTTCAAGGTTGAGAGATTAAATTAGGACTAATGAATATTATGTAGTCATTTTTCTGTATATTTTGCCATTCACTGTCTGCTTAAAACCCCTCCAGTTTTTCAGAGCTTATCAGCAGCTGCTCAAAGATCTATGTGTCTTTGAGCTTTACCAGATCAGGGCTGTCATTCCCCAAAGTCCTTCATTATTTACCCAGATTTGTCTACCTACACACACAGCTGCTGGGTTATTTTGGATTCTCAACCACCAAAGCATGCAGCAGCGTATCTCAATTCAGCAGACAATTGTGTTCATTAGCATGACGACACTGACCTTCTCCAACCAACAAGTGTACTTTGTTCCTC